TGTTTGTGTGCTACTTGTTACAAAATGAGCTAAATTACAGCTGCTATATTTCACAGGGAGAAGAAAGAAAAACGTTAATGTGCGGCATTGATAGATGGAGAAAGATGTAAGAAAGACAGGAAAACAGAGGAAGATGAGAGATTATTTTCAAAAGTAAGGACTTCCCTGCAAGTTATGAACTGGAAATTTAAGGATATTTGCAAGTAATATCCTTAATCATTTTAGAGTTTTTAACTCAGATATTGGATCTACGTGATGTATTGCTGGATTACATTTTTGTGAAATATCTTGGGAAACCAACTGAATCAGTGTTATTCAAAGGTGGGTTAGTTTGGAGTACTGCATCAAAGTTTACAGCAATGCACTATGTTAGACTGGCTGCATCTAGGGTATTGTTACTAGGGTACATCAAGGTAGCGGACATTAACACTGTGTAATTATGTCTTCCAACAAACTGCCACATTGAAATGAACTTCTAATTAATTGCCTTGAGACAACTGCTGTTGTGATTTGGTATTATATAATAAAACTGGATTGAACTGAATTAATCAAGCCATTAAAAGTGCATAAGGTACCAGTTTGATGCCACCATGTTGCCCCGCTATCTTGAGTTCTGCCTAACCTAGTTATGTATGTAGCTAAAGACCGGCTCAATATGTAGCATCTCAAAGGTGGAGGAAAAGAGAACTCGTGTTTTTATACATCTTAAATAGGGTCCTCCACAGTACAATGACGTTAGATCCACTTCAAAAACAGTTTCACTAATGTTAACTAACAGCAGCTAACATAGGCTAACAGCAGCTAACATAGGCTAACAGCAGCACTTACTGACAGTAAAAGTTCAGCTCAACAACTCACTTCAGTTTTGCTGTTATTGAACAGAAGTGAGCTTCACTGACTCATATATGACTTCTTTCACAAAGTTTTCAGCCTCTTGCAGAGTAAACAGACGTTGACTGACAGCTTTGAACTTAGTTCATGTGAACTTAGCTGTGAACTTAGCTAGGATTATGCACTTGAACTGGGAGGCTTACAAAACAAAACTCACTCGACTGCAATCTGCAATCTACTTATATCTAGTATTGAGATTTTACACATTGCAGCTTTAAGGTGTTTATGCCATTGTTTATGTTTTATACTAGCTTTATATGGTCTATGAGTTAGAATACAGCTCATAAAACAACAACGTATAAGGAGTGAAAAGAAAAGATTTCTGCTCAAACTGATGACTTTATTTAGTTTAGTTACATGTAAATTTTCCACCTAATTTTGTTACACAACTACAGTGTAAAATGTTGATTTGTACACGTTCAGTTTATACCAAGCACATTTTCCTTACAGATTAGGTATTCAAATAAATAAACCTTTGCTTTTATACATTTCTGTTTCATTTTACTCTGAATTATTGCTTTTTGTATATTGAGAGTGAAAATTTCATTAATTTTTTTCAGAGTGTATCTTTTTGAATTTAGTTAAATCCACAAAGAGCAGTAAATAGTAAAATAGTAGTGAATAGTGAGGAGCAGCACAGGTCAGCTGATCACAGCCTTACCCGGCCTTGACGTAATTCTTTTCTCCGGTCTGTCAAATCCTACTTTAACCCCTAAAACGCACAAAACAAAACATCCGTTTCTCTTTCGAAAACAAAGACATCAATGCAGCACAGACGCTGAAGTGATTCACTATAGTCTGTCCATTCAAGCAGACCATCTGTGACAATATCTATCTTCTTTCTCTTTTCCTCAACTGAAAGAAGAAAGAGAGTAAGAAATGAGATTTCTTTGTTTAGTCACAGATGTGAAGCTTCGGCTGTAAAGGCATTGAGAGTAAAACTGAAGGACACAAGTTTAAAAAGAAGGTAAAGCTAACAAAAAAAAAAAAATCCAAGACAGGCACAATGTAATTCCAAAAAGATAAATGACCGTTCAGCTTTTTTTCTTATGTAGAGCCATTGACAAGATCAAACATTCTTGGTGAAGTAAAAAGTGTTAATTTACTGTAAGAAGGGAGCTGGGGTGGAAAGAAACTTGGCTCAATTGCAAAAGTGTGATTTATATATAACCTTTTTGGGCTTTGTAGATGATATTAAAAAAAGTTTTATTGCTTATTTTTCTTGTCTTAGTTCATTGAAACAGCAGCAGCCCCTTCCTCTCCTTTGTGTTAGGATGCCTGGGTTTTTGAGTTTATTATATTATTTATCATTTCTAGTCTTTGGGTTTTTGTTAGAGTCATGTCTTATGGTTTGTCTCTGTGTAATCCTTAGTTGCTGTCTCCCCTGTCCGCTATATCCCCGTGTCCAGTCAGTGTCTGTGTCTGCCCTGGTCCCACGTCTCTGTTCCCTCTGTTGTAGTGCCTGCATGTGAGTGTGTGTCTTTTGTTCAGTCTTTGTTATGTGTTTCCTGTTTTACTTTGAAGGTCTCTGTCTTATCTCAGTGTGTTCAGATTAAGCTTCTTTGTCTCGTTAGTTCTGATTTGCCCCAGCTGTGTTTCCCTCCTGTTGTCCATTCCCTGATTGCTCCCTCTGTGTGTTTAAGCCCTGTGTTTCAGTTTGTCATTGTTGCGATCTGCCTTTATCTTGCTGTGTGTTTTGTCTGTGTAGGTGTATTTTGTATTCTTAGTTTTTGTTACCCTTTTGAGTTCAGCATTAAAGCTGTTTTGAGTTACTTTCTGTCTCCGGAGTCTGCACTTTGGGTCCTTCTCCTGCCTGCACACAGCCGTCACATAACACTTTGTGTCTGTACGTCGTCCAGAATAAAGGTTAAGCAGGGGTCTGAGCAGTTTTCTTCCAGACTGTGATCGAGTCTGTCCAGACTTTACATCTAGTCCTCAGCTTTGTCCATTCATTACATCTACAGTAACCTCAGTGAAGTTTTAACGTTAACATCAAGCGCTTTTTCAAATTCTATATGCACCATACATACACATTGCAGGTTCAACACAGAACACTAGTATTATGTGGAGACACTTAAATCAGAACAATGTCCTTCCACACAGCACGATGACGCAGTTATTTAACAGTGCAGTTCACTGTGCAGCAAGCTCAGCATAGCTATAGGCTTTCTGTGCATTAGCTTGACAACACATCAGCTTAAAACCTCAATCAGACATGACGGGTATTATGACAGTGCTTATCAGCTCTCTCTGCTTCAGGCTGTGTGCACGCTCACATAAAAGGTGTCATTTGGCTTTCCTTCTGCACAAAATGGACCGATTGAAGGCTGCCTATTTTTGTCAAAGACACTATCAGAAAAACCAGTGATAGGGACAGATAAAGAATGGGATGTGAAAATATAATCGCAAAAGGCAACACAGATCCTGCAAATGAGTCAAGAGAGGTAATATATTTAGAGATGTAATATATTTATTTTAACCCTCGTGTGCTTGACATTTATTTCTTAACCGTCACTCTTTGACAGCTGCTACCTTATAGTTCTGCCAACATATTTATATTTATACATGAGTGCATATCCTAGTGAGAGAGAGAGATGTTGAAAGCAATGTAATTTGTGGTCACATCCAAGTTAAATTTAATTATTCTTTAATTTAGTCTTCTCATCTTTACTCTTTTACCTGCAGTTCCAGCAGCATAAAATAGACTTGGTGGTAAATTACAATCAAATGTAAAAGAATTTATGCATTTATACATCTGCATAACCAACTGAATGCAGGTAAATTCTGTACAGTAAAACTTCACTCCACAACTTCCTTTGAGGTATTAAGCACAGCTTAATAAGTTGCAAAATCGATTCCTTCAGAAAACCCTCACAGCACGTGATCAGGAATCAGGGAAAATGTGGTAGAAAAAGACAAATTTGAACAGAGTCTGAAATGAGATTTGCAGATTAGATTTTTTTTAAGCTTTTCTCAGTGAAAGCTAAAATGAGACCTTTTATTTTTTTAATAACTTTCAGAATGTGATCCGTGATTTTACCACATCCACACTCGATTACTGCAGTTCTTTATATGCCAGAGCGTGCCAGGCACGTTTATGACGATTGCAGTTAGTCCAAAATGCTGATACTCGTAAATGAAAAGATGAACCTATTAAACTTACCTTGGTATCGTTAAACTGGCTACCTGTACAGCTTAGGATTCATTTTAAAACCCTTGTAATTGCTTGCATCGGCTTGCCCCTGAGATGTTTGATATTTATGGTTTTATTTCGCTTATCAGAGGCTTGAGTCAGCTGAACACTTCCAAGCACCAAACTTCTACAGCTAATCGGTAAGCTTCACTAACAGTAGTCAACTTTTAAAATCTGTGCTAGTGGGCATCAGTTTAGCTCAGTGGGTGAGCAGACGACAGTATGCCGCATGTCTAGAGGCCTGGCTTTGATTCAACCTGCATGTCCTCCCGTTCTCTCTCTCTCTCTCCCCACTATCCTGCCTGTGTTCCCCGCTCCACTATTACATAAAAAGGACTGTTTTAACATTAAAGTTGATAATCATGTGCTTTGGTTGATTTTAGGCTGACACGGTTAAATTCTTTTTGCATTTTAATAAAATGGATACATGCAAAACCTTTTGATATTTTATGGATTTGTTGTGTCAAAAATGATGAAATGAAGCTCTTTATGGGCCTCATGAATCAATATCCAATCCAATCTCCCCTGAGATGTTTGCTGCAGGCTTTCTGTTGGGCATCCAGTGACTGTCCTTGATATTTTAAAAGTCCATTTGTATGCAAGGAGAAAATTTTATCTTCAGTGTCTACCCAAAGGCTCAACTGTATGCAAATAACCTTTTAAATATGAAAATACTCACAGTTATAAAAGAATAAATAAATGTGTTAGCCCGTGACAGCACTGCCGAGCGAAGTCCTGCTATGGCATCTTTAGGCTTTTTGGCCACAAAGCAGTTATTTCCTTCATAAAGAAAATTACATACATTTAAATGACGGTTAGTTTTCTTCTTCTCGAGCTTGTTATTTTACGGAAGAGCACATAGAGAACATCTGTTATTCCTTCTTTTGTGCACTTACACTGAATGTAATCGATTTACCTTTCTGATGGTCACTGAAGTAGCTGAAATAAGGCGGGCAGGTTATTGTAACCACCTCTCCGACCCGAGCTGAAGGCCAGCAGGCGATGATGTCCCACATGCCTTGGCACCCTGCCAGGTGAACATAATAACATCAACATGGCATCGCTCATATTGTAAGAGACACACGTGCAAGCACCAACACCACGATGACAAAATGAAATCATGTCCAACACTAAAGCCAAATTGAATAAGTAATTAATGGCAAGCAGCAGCTGCGTGTTATCACTCAGTTTCACTTTAGGGACTTAGTTACAGGTTTAGAGTTTTGTAAATGTCATAATATGGGTTAAGGAAAAACTCATTCATGGTGGTTTCATCTTCTATGCCTCCAGTCTTCAAGCAACAGATGAATTTTATTTTTAAACATATTGATTTGTCACAATCAATATTTAATCAGCTTGACATTTATCTGAGATAATGGACTGCCTGAGAGTCTCAGTGGAAAGTTTATCAGAGACACTAATATGGAGTTAGGCCCCTACCTTAATAATAATTATTCTATAGATGAAACAATTTTGGGGGGAAAGATGGAGATTTTCATCCACAGTTGCTGCAGGTTTGCTGAGATCTGGTGACTGTGGATGCCGTTTGAGTCCAGTGAACTCACTGTCATATATAAGAAATGATACTGAGTTTAAGATGATTCGAGCTTTGTGAGATGGTGATACGCGGTAAAATGGACCCATGCTTTCATGTTGTTTACATCAAATTCTGACTCTACAGGGTGGGCCATTTATATGGATACACCGCAATAAAATGGGAATGGTTGGTGATATTAAAGTCCTGTTTGTGGCACATTAGTATATGTGAGGGGGCAAACTCCTCAAGATGGGCGGTGACCATGGTGGCCATTTAGAAGTCGGCCATCTTGGATACAACTTTTGTTTTTTCAATAGGAAGAGGGCCATGTGACACATCAAACTTATTGGTAATGTCACAAGAAAAACAATGGTGTCTTGTTTCCTAACTTTATTCTTTATGGTATACAAGTTTCATCTTGTAAGCAATTCATGTGAGCAGTGTGCAGCACCTGAAACTACGGATACTGGATGCCTGTGCTGGCATTTCTCCTGCGGTGTTGCTATCAGTGTGTGAAGAGTGGGAGAAGAGGGTTGCATTGACAATCCAACACAATGGGCAGCACATTGAACACATTTTATAAGTGGTCAGAAACTTGTAAATAACTCATGAAAGAATAAAGTTACGTTGAAACCAAGCACACCATTGTTTTTCTTGATCTATTACCAATTTTGAACATATTTTTAATTGTTTTTATTTTAAGTATTTTAAATTCTTAATTCATTTTTATTATTTTATTTATAATTAGTTATTATTTTTTTTATTAATCTAATAAAATCTAATAAAAAATACAAATTTCTAAATCATAATTTTGAAAAACAAAAGTGAAAACCTAGCAGTCTGAAAGTGTTATTCAGCTGCACCTTTCAAATACACGACTTACTTGACAACACCCGAGTTAACCCCAGGAAATGATGACGTGAGCAATGCAAAGCAAACAAACAGCTTCATTATGACATCTTGTGCAATCACCATATTGTCCTTTAATAAAATGTTTATACTTGATTAATGCTACAAGCTAAAATCTACTTTCGATCAAAATGTTTTAATGTCCAAAATATTATAAGAAAACCAAGGAACTGCTGAAGGATCCCTTGATGTATTATGTTGCACCGCCATAGTCTGTAAGCTTATGGTTCCCCACAAACACTCATGTTAACTCAGTTACTCAGGATGTGACCCCTGACTGCCAATTCAACTATGTTCTGGTTGAGGAAGTAGATAAGAAAGTAGAAAAATAAGGGCCATTAGAGCAATAAAGAACGCTGTTTCCACTGTTACCTTAACGCAGCATGCCGTATGTACAGCACGTGTAGTGATTTTTTATTAAAATGAAAGGAAATGGAGATAGTGCCAACAACGTTTAACATCAATATTTCACTGCGTTCCTAAAGTCACAGGAAGGACGGCCAAGCAGATATCTCGGTGGGCCAAAAAGAGAAGCATACATTACATTTTGAATTGTATTTTTAGCTACTTTAACAGGATAAAAGTGTACTACTGTTATGCATGTGGCTTACTGCTGTGCCTCCTTGTTTGTGTCTCCTGCTGTTTGTCTGTCATTGTGTTACATGTTTCTATTTTAGTCTCTTCCTGTTTTATTTTGAAAGTTATTTTCCCTCTCGTGTCTTAATGTGGCTGCATGTCCTGAAGAAATGTATTTCTGAAATATAAATTCACACACTGTCTGACCTCACCTTACTATATATTTACTAACTATGCCTCCCTTTTTCTTTAAGTAGCCTTTTGCACACCCTAAAGACCTGGAGAGACTACATATGTTTTCCATAATGACCTGAAGTGATGTTCCCAGAGGTGCTATTTTCACAGCGCTCTTTCTCCAGCTGGATCTCGTTCACCACGTCGCACATCTGCACTGACAGCACCTACGGATGAAACAGAAAGCACATTTAAGTTTCAGGAGTGAAAAAATGCCTCTATTGTCCTGCAACAGAAAGAACTTCTATTTAGCAAGGCGCACACAAGAACACCAGAAAATATGAGTTTGCAGTTATATTAGTAAACATTTTCTCGTCACCGTCACCAGCTTTTCATGCTATATTTTATTAGACTGAACTAATGACTAATAATACGCTAAGTAGAAAGAAATGTTCTCAAACTGAGCCTTTTTTCCAGGGAAATAGATTTTCTTGTGCAAATAAATTAGGGAGAGGAGAAGGGAGCCACTGAGTAATCTGCTGTGACTGTTCATCTGTGTCAACACACGCTGAAAAATGCAGGATGACAGCTGCTAGTGGAGAGCCGGTGGGTCAATGAAAATGTGTAAGATGAGCAGTGAGGAGCTTGAGAAGGTCACTGGAGATGAGGAGAGAAAAGTCGGCGTGAAGCAGAGCGTATTCATGAACTCCTAGTGAAGAGCTTCAGTGTGCACCTTGCTAACCAAGCGGCAACGCTCAAAGCAGCAAAGGTCACAGTGAGGAGGGCTAAAGCACAAAGATGCATTTACGCTTGTTCGACTCATCCTCTCTATAAGTGGTCCTTCACGAGTCCCGGCCACCTTTGAGCTGTCAAACATCAAATGATCCTCATCAATCATCCAGAAATGTCCTACTTAGTGCAGGGTTGAGTTCCCAAATGATATTACGCTGCTGTAAACAGCAGTCAGCGATGCAATGCGCACCCCGGGCGAGAGAAACACCTCAAACCATCACAAATGAAAAAGGACACGTCTCATGTTAGTAGTTTAATGAGGCATGGGATAGTCAGAGGTTCATCTGTTAAACAAGTGATCCTCTCGCAGCATGAACACTGATATATCAGTGTTACATTATCATACGCTGATATGAGCCCAATATTCGTCTTAACTGCCACAGGTCAAACATCAAATGAGGTGACATTTACACATGCTAATAAAAATGTCCCGCTTTATCAGCTGTCATAAAACAGTGATGAGAGGACCTACAAGCAGAACACAGAGGCAGGTGGGAGACGCAAAACAAAAACAGAAGCACAAAAGCACAGTCACACTAGATTAAAAATAGAACACTAACCCGCGTGATTAGTGAAAATTGACGGCTTTCCAGTGACCTAATTGAACTACAAGGAGATGGGGTGATTAACTGGTCGCTCATAGGTTAAGCATGCAATACCCTCAACCTCTAGATGACCACTTTCGATGTCAAGGTGATTGCTCAAGACACCTGGTGGGAAGCAACCTGTCTCCAAACAATCATCGTCTGACTTGGACTGACTGCAATCACTCTTCATTAGTGAAGCTTTGCAAACAATTGCCATCTAATTTATAAACATAGATTTCTATGACATTACAATCAGTCTGAGTGTGTCTGCTGTGATCAGTGCAACTTGTCTGCAACGTGTTTCTTTGCGATAGGAGACTTGACCTAACTGGTTGCCAGTGTTATATTCCTGTTTAAAACTGAGGTTACTCAGTAAGCAGTATCAAAAACAAGCAGTATCACATGCACTCAGGACCATAACATCAACAGGGAGCCCCCCAGTGCTACCCCTGTGTCCTAGTAGACACACCTACAGTTATTGCATTCACAAAATGTTCAGAAAACCTGACCTCTCACCTTGACCTTGAGGTCGAGGTCACTGAGATTCGAGTTCGGCTGAGATTTTTAGCAGGTATATCTATGAAATCGAGTTGTCCAGCTGCCCGACAGGGTAACAACAATACCCCATCAGCCTTTTTTAGTAGTAAAAATCTATTCAAGTTTAACGTTTAAGCGACACCTACTTTTACTTTTAGTTAAAGTTCAAATAGTAGAATCCAAGTGGGATCCAGCTTTGGGAACAACAAATTAGTGCAGCCTCAATGCTTCTGGCAGCAACAGAGTTAGTTCAAAAACAACTCCCCACTCATTATATTAGACTTAGATTAAAATATTATGAAGAGCAGTAAATTATTCTTGAATGAGATCAGGAAGGCTGGAGTGCTTTACTTCACAACTCTGTTTTTATTCATGCATAAATAACGCTTACAGGAGCACTTACAGGATTTTTTTTTTTAGATTCGGGTGGCACAGGGGGATCCAGCAATGAGTAAGGGGGTGGGGGGTTGTTTCTACCAGATGTTGACCAGCTGACCATTCGCTGAGTTACAATGATGGTAACGAGCACAGACCTCCTGCCTCCATACATTAGGAGAGCAGTACTTAATAGCAGGTGCCCTGATGCACAAGATCTAACAGCGATTTAACCGGATAAGAAATAATCTTTTTTCAACAGTAAATATATTAAATTTTAACAGAGTGGTAGGACTAGCGAGACCTCTTTATCCCCTGTGTAGCTTCCACCCATTGTTGCATTTTGTTCCAGGGGCCTCCCTTCGGCCCCACCTTTGACACTTTGATGAAAACTATATATAACTGATGAGGATGTCTGTGAATCTAGGAACCCACCTTTGTTGTCACAGCTTTGCTAACCTAACATAAAGATAATTAAAAGATGCCCCCAGTGACTGACCTGCAAACAATGATTGATCAAACACAAGAAAAGCTGTCAGAAGAAGCTACTTCTGGTTGCTCCCATATGCTGTGGAATCACCACAGTGGGTTTGATTTTGTTTGACATGGTAGTTTGTACACCAGTTACCCTTCCAGTCATTCCCCAAGATCAAACTGTTTGACGGTCGGCAATCAGAAGAACGACATTTAAAAAATTACTTGGGATTGCTTTTTGTTCTGCCAGGGCTATGGTTCCAGACTGAGTCCTTCCTTCTTGGATATTGATAATTCAAATAAGATGGCTTTCCTTTAAAAAGTTAGCAAAATAAACAATTTTAATGATGAAGTTCAGTGCACGGTACGAACCATGTAAAATCTCGCTGTAATTTGCCTGTCTACACTGCACTGCCTTCCCTGAGTGTTACTCATTGCCTCGCTTGCTCTCTTGAAGGTCATCCTGACACTCTCATAATCCACACAGCTTTGGGATGAGAGTCTTTGCCTGTGACTGATTACAGCAGAAAGTCCAACATATCCTCAGGAAATGGTAGCAGCACTGTTTGAGAGGAAAGAAAACTGCTAACTCTCATGTTGGGCAGACCTTTCAGTAACCCTGTTTTTCATTAGAATGATGTTGATTGTAAGACAATGTAAAAATGAAGCACTTTAGAGATGATCTGGGTCCAGAAACCTCTCTGAGTGGAAAATGCTATCCTCATAGTGAGTTTACATTGCAGACTACAAGTTCCTCCAGTCCGTGACAGAAAGTTTTATTATGTGCACGAGTGATTTAACATCTCCACTGCAATTATAATGTCAAGTACAGTGACGGTTACATTAGTCACTAAAAGCTCCTTTAAAAAAAATCATTACACCATTGAGAATATTTGTTTGCTATCAGTATAGTGTTATTAAATGTGTGCAAAATGGTGTAGTAATGATATCCCTGTAATAGGGTTCACCAATGCACTAAATGTACTGATCAAAACATTATATTTACTTTGGCAGATGCAGATTAAAGCTGATTTGCATCTGTAGTCGCCAAATGTTGGACAACCCCACAGCAGTCTGATTACCCAGCGTCAAATATTCACTCACTGGCCACTTTAGTTATACCTTACTTGTATTGTGTTGGGCTACTTCATGGCTGACTGAACTATGTGACAGAAACATCAGAGATTAGGTTCACAGTGACATGATAGTGTCATGCAGTTGCTGCAGATTTGAGCAATTTTAGCACCACGAACTAACCGTTTGAGCCACTGTTTTGAGTTTGTAGCTGACAGGAGTAGACCTTGGTGTGGTCTTCTGTTCCCAGAGCCCATCTGCTTCAAGGTTTACCATGTTGTGCATTCAGATATGGTCTTCTGCATACCTTAGTTTTAACATGTGATAATTTAAGTTACTGTTGCCTTCCTATCAGCTCAAATTCTCCTCAACTTGGCATTTTCACCCATAGAACTGGGTGTTTGATGTTTGATAGTTGTACAGATCTCTGTAAACCCTAGAGATGGTTGTGTGAGAGAATTCGAGTAGATCAGCAGTTTCTGCAATACTCAGACCGACACCAACAACCATGCCAAAGTGACTTAAATCACCTTTCTTGCACATTCTGATACTCAGCTTGAACCTCAGCAGGTCATTCTGAGCATCCCTACAAGCCTAAATGGTTTGAGTTGCTGCCTTGTGATTGGTTATTTAGTGTGTTAAGCAGCTAACCTACTGCAGAATTTAGCAGCCAAACAAATAGTAAATTGTCTGGTACTTATAGAGTGCCTTTCTACTCTGAGTCTGCAGAAGATGTTTTTACCAAAAGATTCATTCACCCATTCATACAGCACTTTATTCTATGCCTTTAAGCACTTCAGTCACATGGATCTCACACTGTCTAATGGATCCATCAAGAGTCAAGTGAAATTCAGTGTCTTGCCCAAGGGCACTTTGAAATTTTGGAGGACCTGAAGATCAAGCCACCAACCTTCTGTATAGAAAGTGACCAGCTCTACCTCCGGAGTCCCAGCTGTCCTATCAGGTACTTCATCGTGGGGACCAAAAATAGAGAGCAAAAAGCAGTTTTATGTCCTAATGTCTTAGAAAAATCCCTCCGAGTAATTAACTATGTGTGAAAATCTAAATTTCTTTGACTTGTAATCGACTGTCAGGTGTTTTCTGATTACTTGGCGTCTGGTGTCTTTTGTATGGCCACTGTTTCAGGACTTCGGGTCGATGTCTGTCAACTGTGATTGGTCAATAGAAATCAGACTACAAAATAAAATGTAAAAAACAGGACACTAAATTGTGTCCCTTTCATACAGACTCTATTAACATGCAAATATTTACATATAGAGATTAATGTACTTATATTTTGTATTTCACGTTTGTTCTGCTGCCCCCTACTGGCAGGGTTTAACCAAAGGACTTAAAGCAAGAGACTCAATAAGTTTAAATAATTAAACTTTATCTGTTTGTGTTTTCAACTCTAGTGATTATGCATGCTGACTCCCCACAGTATAACAGGGCCATCCTGAATCTCATTAACACCCAACACGCGTGTTATCCTTACAATGACAAATCTGCATTTAAATTCTTTTTTTTATGTTTATTTGAATAAATTGCGTTTTCTAAAAACAATAATAATAATAATAATAAAAAGATCTGGGTAACAGCCAACAATTTTAAAAATGTCAATGATAATTAAAGTTGCTTCGTGTCTTGCAGCTTTTGCAAAATGTAACTCATTTTGAATGTGACGTTTCCCAAAAGCCATTAATGCTGCATAAACAGAAGAAAAACTGAAACAAAGTCCCTCATCAGGGAAGAAAACAGACATAGCAGTGGAATGTGAGCATGGCTTTCTACTGTAGGCTGCTGGGATCAAGCTTTCTCTATTGCATGGAGGTAGTTTATTAGTTCACATTATCCTGTATATTGTGAATAGAGCCAGAGCACACAAAGAGGTAGACCAATGATAAAACAGTCATCAGAGTTCACAGCAAGGGATTCATACAGCTGGAGTGATACAGGAGGGGAGGAGATGCGACAGTGATCTATAACTGGGCTCAAAAAGGAGGAGACAAAAACTAAGTGCTTGCCGCTTGAGATACTGGAAACCTACTAATACCAAGCACTTAGACAGCCACCTATGGAGTTGACTGTATTGAGGAATGAATCAAAATGTCAGCGCCAAACTACGCAAAATTGTACAGATGATAAGTGGACCTCATCAAAGACTTAGCTACAAGCACATATACACACAGAACACGTATGCACGTTGTCTCAGGGTGGAAAACGTTGCATAAATACCTGCAGGATTTAAAGTTTTGGTTGCGTAGACCTCATCGTGAGCAGTGCAAGTAAGTATTTAGTGATTGTTGTTATTCAAAGTGGCTCCCAGTCTGGCATTGTTTGAGATAGCAATCAAATTCTAAAAAGGAGGAAGAGCTGACAGAAGAATGAAAGGTGAAACTCGTGTCTGACATTGTGGACTAATATGTTTTTCCCAATTCTACACTTCACTGAACAAAACAAAAACGAGCAGCATCTACATAATGGTTGCCTGTTGTTAAAAATCTGACAAAAAACGAAGGCTTGAACACCGTGCAAGCCAAACAAACAAAAGCACAGGACACGTCTGACACGACTTGAGCAGTATTTTGAATTGCTCTCAGTTACTGAGAACAATGTGCTTATGCATGGTCTTCAAAGAGCTTGAGTGATTATCATGTTGTTTCTGAATGATCAAACATCAGGCTGTGGATTTATGTGGTTCCAATTATGCAGTGCCGTTTCCAGTTGCCAGTACAAGTGGCAAAATTAGCTGACGGAGTAGCTGCTGCCACACATCTGTAACCAATAACCAAAAGCAGCTCTGCTTTAACACAACTTGTTGCTCTATGATCAGTTCAGAGTGAGCTTTCATCAATTGTGCGGTATTTGTGAAATACAATCTTTGATAAATAAAGCTAAAATTTTGGAATATTTCACATCAGTCTTTCACAGCGCAGTTTTCTCCATGTACATCCTAATGGGCCAAACGTCTGTTTGTCTGTTTGTTTGTTTGTTGGTCCACAAACTCCTCCAACACAATCAGGAGCTGAACAACCAAACTTGACACACAGGTACCTCTCCGGCCACAGAAGGTTCTTATCAATATTACATATATGATGTAATCCTGTTGCCTAGCAACCACCTACCGATGGGTTCAAATGAATAACTTTTAATGTCCGTGCACCTATAACATCCCGAAAAATCATTGTTTTATTTTACATTCAGCACAGCAACATCTAATTTATATGCACAAAACTATGACATGACATATTATGATGCCACTGTGTTGCCATAAGAGGCTACATAATGGACAACACAATAGTAGACTACAGCCAGATTTATATAATAGAGCAGGCTTTGAGTGTTGCAGGGATTAATTTTTATACAATAGGCCTCATATTTATCTTTTACTTATTTATATAAATAAGATTTACAACCCCTGTTTGCAACAGCATGAAGAGAACAAACAATACCGTAATATCTGCACGTGCTAGTATTTAAAAAAGATCATATTACATGCACGTTTAGAAATATAGGCCTGCTTTGAACTGCATTCTTGTGGCCTTCTGCTTCCTTAGACAACTGTTTTTGTTTGCACACCGTTATTTCTGAAGCATTCTTTATGCTTATCCTTTGAAAGTAATCCTATAATGCTACAGATATTTTCATTTCTATTTTTACGCAGTCAAAGTTTGGAAATGCTGACTTACTGTGTGACTGCAGAGAGAGTGGAAACATCTCTAAACTTTAAGAGCCCATGGTGGAAGAAGTATTCAGTGCCTTCACTTGCTTACTTTAAGAAGCAATATGATACTACTGTTGAAATACTCCACGAGTAAAAGTGTTTTACTATCTTCCATGATGTTTTAGGGGTAATATAACTGATTCATTAATGCGTTTGCTGAATTTTACTGCTGCAGAAATTTAAGGTTGAGCTATTTTGAACTTCATAAACTGTCGGACGGTTTAATCTGCACCATGTGTTTGTAGGATCAGAGCCCTGTGAGAACTATGCATCTCAAAGTTCTGTTTTCTGCATTTTCTAGCTTTATTTTACATTTATAACCTGCTAATATTTAAAAAGAATTGTCAGCCAACAAAGGAACACTATATCCTTCAGCCTGATTTCATTTTAAAATCTCCAAATTTGGAGATATGCGGTTTGCCTCGACTTGAGAGGAGGAATATGATAGTTTTAATATGCCACTAAAGCTTACAGACAAATACATAATATTAATATTTGTCTCTGAGATGGAGTAGAGATTTAAATTATCATAAAATTCAAAACAGCACCTGAGTAAATGTACTTAGTTACATTCAGCCACTGGTACAGACACATAAGGATATTAAGGCAGAGAATATATTTGCTTTTTTTTCCCACACTTGAACCAAAACAGAAAAGTCATTTTCACGCATCGGAACGGAAACTGTTTGAAGAAATAAAATACGTTTGTGCTGCACCTCCCACACCACCCCACAGCGTAAATGGGTTTCTGTGATTATTTGGAAGAAAAGTTCCTTAAGGTTTTTCTCGACTGGTTTCATATTCAGAGAGAGACGAGGAAGAGAAATCATTATTGCCCCCATCCTACCCCCCACCACCACCTCTCATCCCTGTCCCTGCTCTTCTCCTTCTCCCATCTGCATTCGGTTAAATCAATAACAGCAACATCCAGCCACTAACATACCCTTTTTAACCACTTTCTTCACTTCACTCAGCACCACAACTCCTTATTGGACATATTGATGAAACATGTCACGGTGTGTTATTATAAAGCAGCCATCTAAGGACTTAGGGGGGAAAAAAGAGACAAATATACGGCATATGAGCCAATAAAGTATGTCAACTAATCACACATCTGGCTAAGCTAAAACGTCAGGCTGAGCCTGATATCAAAGAGTCATGAGAGGTGAGCGGGGAGAAATTCTCACACAGGCAAATACAGTAGATGTTCACAGTGTAGTCTGCCTGATAAGAGCTTCTGTGGAAAGCATTGAGGAAGCTGTGCTTCAGGGACAGATGACTCAGATCAGCACAAAATTATAACTATTAGTAGATATTTGTCTATTTCTTTTCTCTCCCACATGTCTGAAAATTGTAACAAAAAGCCTCTTCAGTTCGCTGAAACTACAGGTTCCTGACAGAGATCAGATGAATAACGAGCAAACCTCTGCCCTCAGTTACTGAAATGCAGTGAGAGCCCTCTTCACATTCCAAATATTCTCAAATATTGACTGTTGTGAACCGGTGCTATTGTGTAGTAAAAAAAATAAAACTGAAGTGAAATTGACATAACATTTCTGAAAAATGAGGCAAAACCTGACGGCGCTTTGGTTTGTTGCTCACAAAAGGACCGAAAGGTACAACCGAGCAGACCAGCAGAGACTCATGCCTCACTCCTGCTTACGTCTACAGTGAGTGTAATTTTAAGGAGATGCGGGAAAGCCTATGCATCCATCACTCACAGTGCAGGCTTAGAAAAACTCCCTGCAGAAACACTGAGTGCCACTAAAAGGTGACTTATTGCCAGGTGGCAATGCTCAAAGGCTTTCTATGTAATTATATAAACCTAGAGAGACTACAACTATTTACTAGAGTAGTAAAAATAGAGCCTAGGTAAATTACTCCACTCATCCACCTGGGAGAATGGATGAAAATAGTGGGGAGCCCTGTATGAGGTGTCCACTTGTATACAATAAATCAAACAGGCGGAGGAACAAAGTAAAAAGCAGCCAGGCTGGTGGATTTCACACACAAAGGTTTCTGATCTGAACCACTATCATGTGAGATCTTTAAGAATTTAGAGGACTTTTTATTTTACTACACTCACGGTTTTTTGTTTTTTTTTTTAAAGCCAACTGTTCACGTTGCCAGCTACTGAAATTACCCAACCACACATATATTGCTGGGTGAAAGCAGCCTAGTTTATCTTTCTAAAGCCAGATGTCTTACGAGGAGATGAACAGGAAATATCGTAGAGCGGGAAAAGTAAAATAGAAGTAAAAGGGTTTTTGTTTTATTACATTAAACACACTCGAAAATGTTTTTTAAGAGTCCAACAGCGGATTTGATCTAATATGCCTGTAGTAAAAGTATAAATTAATGGTTTCAGTATGAAGAGAGAAAGAGACTTACTTTTGGCAGGTATCCGCACAACACCAGAAGGAGCAGCTGTGCAGAATCCATCCTGTCCTTAGATTTTTTTTATTCTCTTTGGGTAAAAAAAAAAAAACCTCCTTTGGAGACTGGTTTAAGTGTTTGAGGAGAAGTGAGTGCGTATGTTTACGCGTGTTTAGGTGTGTGAGGTAAACCGCCTACGCTCCATCGGATTGCGCTTTTCTGTGTGCGCTCCTCCGGCAGGAGAGCTGCGTCTGCTTCCCTGTACCCGCCCCCTCTCCCATTCACAACTCCACGCCGCCTGTCACGTCCCTGAAGACTGCTGACAAGTCTGTCAGGCTGGTTAATTGTGAACACAATGCATGCTTTTGTAGACAAACACGCCGATTCTCCACAGCGGGGCTAGTGGCAACACACACTGCGGAATAAACCCTGCAAGTGTGGGTTGGTGTTTTCCTGCAGATTTTCTGAAGTATTGTGTTGCATGTGTTAGAACCATAGATGATTGCATTATTCAAAGAGTCAAAACATTGATTATGGAGAGACTGAGAATATTACAATCCGAAATAAACATGACATACAATTTTATATGTTTCTTCCTGAAACATGAAATATTTACCAAGCTGACTCACTAAATATTTGTCGTGCGTATTGTTTTCGTGCTTAGTGTTTTCTTCTTCGAGTGCGTCACTACTTTGCATTTCACTACCATCAAATGTATATCAAGAGGGGGCTGTGAAACTAACTGCAAGGAAGCATGGATGGATGGATGCTTGTATACAGTACGACACAGAGAAAGTCACGGCGAAGACATCCATTGGTTTGTAGATTAGAGGTTCTGACGCCTGGTTTAAGCACTTTCATCTTTTGTTTGGATGTTTGGACAGGAGCAGTGAAGTGTTGAGTTATAAGCTAAGAAAAGCTAGCTTGGTTATCAGAGCCCATCCATCTGTATTGCTGTAGCATTCAGACAATAGCTGCTAACATTTGCTAACTTTTAAATACAATATTGCTAGACTTTCACTTTGTGTAGCTAGCACTGTTGATTTACAGCAATAAGGTCCTGGGCTGGAACCGCTATGCATGTTGGGTAAGTTTGTGAGTTTGATTTTAAGGTAATTAGCATTTAGCTTTTAAATATAGAAGTAACATGTGCTTACTTGTCTATTAACTGTCTGTTGGTGTGAATGGTTTGCTGTCCCTGTCATGGTAGTTATGAAATTATTTTATAACTCAGTAAAGAAATATTAAGAGCATCAATTTGTCCTTCACTTTATGAGAAACATAAAATGGTCACATCTTGTTAGTTCTTTTTCTAACTTTTGCTAAAATTACGGGATACTGCGCTTAAATGTAAACCAGGAGGAAATTGTTTCGGTGTCACGGTGTAATAAAATAGTGACACAGAAATAAAATATAGAATAGTATATGCAATACATACATAGCCATATAAATATTAGTATAAGTGCACACAATAGGAATATATACCAACTGCCTACAGATATTATTAGGATACAAATCAGAATTTGAAAAATATGTAAATGTTATGAGCAAGAAGGGAGCAAATGCAATATGTAGGTGGATCATGATGTGCAAAATGCTTATATTCAGTCCAGTGTGCAAAGCTATTATAGCCTGTATAGGTAAGTGCCTTATTGTAACACATTAATCGAGTAGTGATCGAAGTAAGGGGGCGTAGTAAAGTAGTCCGACAGCCTGGGGAAAGACAGAAGATATAAATAAGTAAAGCTTTCAGACAAATGTAGGTTGCGCTATATTAACAATATTTTTTATCGCTGAGATAGAGCAGTGATGCTATTCAATGATATGAAATGGAAATGTATCTTAAACTTTTACTGAAGCTCAGTATGAGTCATCTGAGTTAAACTGCACCACTTGTCATTTTTGATTAAAAATATATATAACATTGTCAATGTAGGCCCCTTTATATTATTCAAATTATATTGTAATGACACCAGTCGCATAAATGACATTAGCTAGCTGTTGTTTACAAGCTAACGTTTTACATTTGGCTAACAGTCTTGTTTTTATGTGACTATAGTCTCTCAGCCTCAGACAGATCACAGACATCTTAATTTCCTCTAGTAAAAGTAAAAACAAATGAGGCAAAATGAAGATTTTCTCCTATATCTATGTTGAGCAATGATAAGGTCTGTAGCTGCTAGGCAACAGAAGCGGCGCATCGTAGGCTAGACTATTCCATTTAACCGCTCACTTCGGCTCCTCGTGATAGGCCACGTCCTTCGAAGGATGCTTAGGGCACACTTAATGTGATAGCTCTGTGATGGATTGGACCTGTCCAGGGTGTACCCTGCAAGTAACTGCCAATGATAGTTGAGACAGGCTCCAGTCCGCCCTCCTGATTTAGATGAAAAAAAATGGATGGATGGAATTTCACTCACACAAAAATCAGTGCAGACTTCTTGAATGTACTCTGTTAACAATTAACTACAAGAAGACGTATCGTTTGCTGGGTAATTGCACTGAAAACGCTCCAAAAACAGAGATGAAATGCTTGAATTAGGTGATGTTAGACCTAGCAAATGTCTAGCAGCCTGTGTTAACATCAGCCTACCAAATAAAGTGACCATGTAACTTTAAGCCACTAAGCCTGGACATTTTAGCTGGGAGCTAGGAACAGGGAACCCAGCTTCCCTGTTCCCTGCGTGGGGATCGCACTTATATCTCTGAACTTAGGCAAGACTGAATCAAACTCCTGCAAAAAATTACTGACATCTGACACATAAAATAGCACAAAGGTAACTTGAATAATCACTCACAGTAATTTAATGTACCTGCAAATACAAAAAAAAAGCTGCCTGAAGGCATCTTTGTTTGGAAACCATTACTGTATATCCACTCTTACAACAGTATAAATTAATACAATAATCCTTGAAGGCATGATAATAAGATAAAGGTTTCTGAAAGTTTTCTGAAAACAAAAGTTATGAGGTTGAAGATGCACTCTGTGGTTATGGCGGCAGGAAGGAGGAGACGCGTCTAGTGCAGGTGGCCAGCAGCTCGTTACCCTAATGTTGGGGTAAAAGCCTGATCTGACACAAGGGTAAGAAATCTATAAAGAGGGATGCACTGAACAGCTACTTCCTTCAATGACAAAAAGTCCATTACCCAAATTGAAGTGGGCAATCCCTTTGTAATTGCTAATTCACAAAGATGAGCACAGTGTGATTAAAAATAACATGCCGCACCAAGTGAGAGACACAAAATTGCCTATAAGTTCTCGCAGAGCCTCTAAAATTGTCTCGTCCCCCTGCAGTCACACAAATACACTCATCATCCATCCTGGCTGCAGCATCGGGCGACCCCTCCATCTTCTTAAGTCACAGCGGTACCCACATGCCGTCTGTGTCACGGTGGCTCCACTCACAGCTGACTAGACCTCACAGCACAGTAAGGACTTCTCTGCCTGAGCTCTCCCATGAATATTGATAGATAGTGTGGTTGGCTCAGGCCATCGTAACACAACAGAACACATACCAACACATAGAGCGTTCTTGTTTTACTTAATCCTTGCTTTGTGTGACATCACAGGTTATTTCTATCTTATGGCATCACTCCCTGGTTTGTGTTTCATTTAAGCATGCTGCCTTGGTAGTTTTAAAGCACACTGCAGTATATTTGCCATATAACCACTAATGAATATGCAAATAAACGTAGGATCGTATGCAAAGATAAAATATAAATGCAGTTTTCATCGAGTTAAAACATTTTTAGCACCACTGTCAGGCAAATGTTTATGAATCAGGGCTTACATTTTGCTGCTACTGTACTGAAAAGCTGTGATCCCTGTCAGGTGGATAAATCTTTTTCTTATATACAGTAGGCACGGTTTTATAAAACTTATTTTTTGAGTTACTGAAAAGAGCTGATGCTGTTACAAAGTATATATGACTGCACAAACCTCTTTGCGTTCCCTTCAGATGGGTAACAAAGAGCAGCCTTTGTGCTGAAAGAGACAATTTTTTAAGTCATTAGGTTAAAATAAATCTATAGTTTCTCTTATTTGGTTGGATTTGAATCACATCTGACCTTTAGATCCAGAGAGTGATATATTAGACCACCAGACCATGGAAAATTAACAGACTTCTCTGTGGGTAAAGTCAAGAGTCTTTCAGGCTACCGAATTCATCTTAGGCCACCTCCATGTGTAGGGATGGTTTCACAATGAACAGGCAAAGGATGGCAAAAAATAAATTCTCCAAATTATAGCTCAAGTAGGATAAATTGCTCCTTGAAGCCTCCGAAAATATTAAGGATTAGGTAGGTAGACTCTAATTTTGACATTTCCTTTAATCATCTCAAATGCTTCAGCACATTTTCAGTAAGAAGTAAGATGAATTCTGTTGGGTTCAATTTGCAGGTTTAAGTAAGTTACATTACCTGTGATTTTAGCAGCTTCTCTAGTTTTTCTATGCCTGATGGGCCATGCATATGCGAAGAGATTCACGGCGATGTGGCAACTACATCTGTGAATTGTCAATAAAATGTTGCAGTGACGGATAAAATAACAGGGTGTGTTGAACTGATTGTGAGAGGAGATTTTAACGGAGCTGTCAGTGGGAGCGAAGGCTACAGCCGACTGGTATACAGCAGGGGTAGGAAGTATACAAGAGGGTTACCAGAGCCGATAATACCCATTACTATCTGTCAGCTACAAAGCTAACAAGGGAAATGCTTTATAGGTAGGTGGTGCTTTACCCTGCATCCAAGGGTTACTCAGACTTAATGTGATTTTAAGTTAAACAAAATGAATGCGACATAAAATGGGTTTTATGTTATTATTCAAAGTCCCAGATTTACTAATAGTTGGTTCCAGACAATTCCCTCTTGTGCCTACAGCCGATTTTTACTATCCAGTTAATTTTGCAGCTGGCCTTTTGCATTTATAGGAATTTACTATTCATTCTGCAGAATCTCAGAAAGAGGTTTATTAAAGTTTGTGGCAGATATTGTACTGAGTCACATTTAACACAGAAAAAGTCAGAGTGAGTGTGGTTGGGTTTTGTCAAAGCTGTGAGCTCAGTGTCAAAGCTTTTGCCTTTGTCCTCACCTAAATCCTGAGTTTCAGTAGCTTAGCGGACTTCTTGTTCCCTAATCATGATTCTTCGGTATCCTCCCTGCAGAACTTGTTTCTGTTCACTGAGTTAATGTGCTCACCAGGGAGGATACCAAAGAAAACAGGTTATCACTCCTGGACTGTGTTGTGTAC